GTAGTAGTAGTAGTAGTAGTAGTAGTAGTAGTAGTAGTAGTAGTAGTTGCAGTTGTGGACAGCACCAGGGGAATCAGTCAAGATCCCATAAGCACGAGGCCGATTTACAAGTTCCATGAACAAGAGCATTGGAAACGCTATGAGATGCTAGCAACCTGGGAAACCTTTGATCGAATCATGTTGTGTCGATTAACGAATGGAGTTAGTACCATGAACTATGTTGGTACCAAAGCTTTTCTGTATTCTGAACTCCCGAATCCAACAATTTGACGATACGGCCATGGCTCAGCTTTTCTTCGGTCCTAAAAGGGCTGGGCGGCTGGATCCTTTCGAAAGAAAGATGATGCTTTTGGGCTCGTCCTTGGGCTCGTCCTTGGCGCCTCTGGAGGTCCTATGGAAATAGCCTGGAAGCTGTCTCTGCAGTGACGCTAGCGGCGCTGGAGGTGAGGGGGGCCACCTTGGGCGGTTGACTGAGTCAGCTAATTATGTTTGTTCGATTTGTTGGGCACAGGATGGCAGATGGGACTTCTCTATAGGTCCTCAGGTGGTTCATGAACTTCTAACGAAACGCATATGAGTATGGTCCTTCAATGTAATTATGTTCAACATGTACCCGAACTCATGGAATTGGTAGGGTCGCATTGTCTTTTGTCACGGCAGGATACGGGACACTACCTGGCCAACTATAGCAGTGCAGAATGCCCCTTGCAAACAAAGATTGTTTTGCAGTTCCGCATTCATTTGCACTTTCATCACAGTTTAGATTTTAGACTTTTTTGAGCACCAACTGTTTCCAAGCTATAATATAAGTGAGTTGAGTTGAATCTTAGGTATGTGGTGGGGAAAAGGACGCGGTTGCAGCTTTGTGCTGCAGAGATGCTCTGCTCCTTGGCATTGACAGAATCTTGGAACTCAAAATGCAGGGCTGATTGACGACATTTGATGACTGATATAATTCAGGACCCAACGGGTTTCAACGGGGCTTCAACGGGTTTGACCTCGAGTTCCGCGATGTGCAACGCGATTCCTGCGAGGTGCGAGCAGCAGGTGAAGTCATCACCGGCAGCCAGGCATCCCAGTGCAACCGAGCATGGTCCTCCAGGTACAGCGCCGGCAACCGCGAGGTGGGAGACGAGATGAGAGACATGGATCTTGTCGATTTGGGAGAGTATTTTTTCAATGGTACATGTATGTGTTATCACCAGTGAGGAACATTGTGAGGGACTTCAGAGATTGGGAGAACTACTGAAAGAATTTGGTGTTTGGAATGAGGGCAAGAAATGATGGATCATGTATACTGTATGTATGATCATGTGACACATTGTCACAGGTGTCACTTGCTGATACAACATGAAACTCCTGAAGAGTGACATTTTGTTTTCTTGCTGAGCAAATTGCTTTATGTGACCTTTGCCAAATCACTGAGTCACAGGCCCTGGAAAAGTGTCTTCTGCCAGACTGTCGAAGCAGGACGATGTGGTTCAAGACTCAAGACCTTTACAGTGTTTTTCCCAAAAGCATCTCCGATGCTTGGGTTCTCGTTTAGTCGCTAGTGCCGCGGAAGAGCGAGACAAAGCGTGCTTTGTCGGGGACGGAAGATGGATGTGGAGGTGGACGGGGTTGGGAAGGGAAGATGGAGGGGAGCGAGACGGGAGGCGCATGGGTGGGGACGGGGCTGGAGCGGTGGGGAGGGAAGATGGAGGGGGAGCGAGACGGGAGGTGCATGGGTGGGGACGGGGCTGGGAGGGAAGATGGAGGGGAGCGAGACACATGGGTGGGGACGGGGCTGGGGAGGGAAGATGGAGGGGAGCGAGACGGGAGGCGGGAAGATGGAGGGGAGCGAGACGGGAGGCGCATGGGTGGGGAGGACGGGGCTGGGGAGTGCATGGGTGTGGACGCTTGCGCGGCTGATATGCTAGTTACGAGGACATGGTTGCACCACAAGCATCATTGCAGGCTGCTCCGGGTCAGTGCGCAAGTAGAACGAAGCATGGGTGTGGGGTAGTGCTGCTCCATGCTTTGCGGAAGCACGTTGGGAGGTGAGTGGAGCTGTGTTGCGGGGCTTATACGATAGTCTTGGGTGTCCAAAATGTGCGCAATGCATGCGACAGACAGTCAAGTCGTGGCCAAAACGGCAGGATTGTTGCGTCGAGCACATGGTTGCACCACAGGCATCATTGCAGGCTGCTCCGGGTCAGTGCACAAGTAGAACGAAGCATGGGTGGGGGTAGTGCTGCTCCATGCTTCGCGGAAGCCCGTTGGGAGGTGAGTGGAGCTGTGTTGCGGGGCTGATACGATGGTGTTGGGTGTCCAAAATGTGCACAATGCATGCGCCAGCCAGTCAAGTCATGGCCAACACGGCAGGATTGTTGCGTGCCAAAAGCACAATGCGTTAAATTGGATGGTTGGAACGAACCATGGAGGGGGCTGATGCTGCTCCATGCTTCCTGGAACGGTTGTCAGAAGCCATGTTGCAATCGTTTTATGACCGTGTTGGAGGGCTTTCAAAATTGACCAAGGGGTGGACGGGGGTGTATATGGCAGACAGGGGTGGACGGATGCGCACCAGAACCGCGATGCTTGAAATATCATGGCTGCCACGAAGCCTGGAGGGGGCTGATGCTTCGTTTTGGCCTGCTAATGTGTATTTGTTTATTTTTCCTCGCTTGCGCGCTTCTTTTTGCTTTTGGGTCCGCGGGCTCACCTTGTTTCACAAGTTGGTCCAGCTTTGCATGGTAAAACAACATGTACATATTATGTGTGTATCCCCGTGAATCCGCAGTCCCCAAGTTTTCAGACCGTTACCGAACGATGCTTTCCATGATCCAACAAATGATCCGCAAACATCTTTTAGATAAGGACCTTTGAGGACTCAACAAGTACTTGAGTTTAAAGATGTTTCTTGATGTGTATAACAATAACTATATTAACCATATGATATTTTTTTATTTGCGACCTTTAAGGAGTCTTGTATAACACGATATGACAAGATTTTGGTGCAGATTGATGCAGGACTGTTGGAGGGGTGACAACATGCGATGCCGAGTGCTTTACAGGTCTGAGCTGATGTGTCGATGTCCATTTCCAGGTTACGGTCTAGCCATCTCTGATAATGCATACAGAGCTCAAACTTTTGCTTTGTCAAGCCAAGAAACCTGTTGAAACCAGATGGATACCATTTTTGAAAACGACAAGTCCTGTTATGTTGGAACAAGAAGGGACCTTTTGAAGAAACATTGCGAAAGGATGTCGCAGAGACTACATGCAAACGTTCTGCAAAAGCAACCCAGTCTGACAGGAGACGATGCAGAAGCAGTTTGCACGAAGGCCTCCTGTGAGGATCCCGTGTAGACTACATGGATATGGTTTACCATTTCATACCATTTCAATTCTGGAATTGGAGAGTCCTATTCAGACATTGGTTTGCTCAAGTCAACGAGTGGGAGCAGTGTTTGAGAAGAATATCATGAACACTCCAAATCCTTGGGTCACTCATTCGCATCTTGAGCACAGAAAACCCAGAAGCTGCTTCACTGAAGCTGCTCTGTGCAGGTTCCCAGCGGGCCGGTTGAAGCGGCGGGCTTCGTGGGCTGGGCCCAGGATCTGGTCTCCGACGTGATCGGGCCACTGGGCGGAGCTGGAGCAGGCGGCTTTCAGAACTGGAGATGTTTGATCCAGTTCTGAATGTCTAGGGAGCCTCATTGATGCAGAGTTAGTAGTGTGTCTTCCAGAACCGGTGGATCATCATTTGGACCTCCACATATTTTCAGAGTTGCCCCTTGAACTGTGTTTGCTTGCACCGAAAAAAGGACCACCAGAGGTTTGGATTTGGAGCGGCAAGGCAGCAGAAACAAGGCAATGCGGTATTCGCATGACCATGGGAGAGGTGGTGCAGAATGAATCAGAATGAACAACCTTTCATAGGGCGATCAGCTTTCGACAGTCACTGACACGGATGATTTCGGACCATGAGGCTACAAGGGGGCTTAATTATGACTCAATTGAAACGACATGGATCTGAAAGAGGACCTCATGCCTCATGCAGCTCGGACGTCGTGAGTCGTGAGCCCATTTTGGATGGCCCAATGTCAAAGACAGTTGAATGCATTCGGTTGTGGGTCATGGTACCCCGGACACCTGAAAATGAAAGAGAGTCCTCTATGTTCGGGATGTCAACCTCCCATGGTTTGTTGGGTGAGGTTTTGACCCAGAGCCATTTGAGAGGTTATCGAGGTTATCTTTTGGCTGCCCATTGGCTGGTGGGGCACCAGCCGGCTTTGACTTTTCCAAGGTATGACATCACCTGGGAGTCTTTGCAGAGCGCGGCATCAGTGAGCATGGCTCCCTTTTGCCTCCTCAGCCAGCTTCCCAGCATTGTAACTTGTAACATGTGCTTTTTCCACCCGCCTATTCTGGGAGGCTTCTCGACTGCACTCTCTCGACCATTTCAGGTGTATGCTGCCTGGCAAAGTGCTTTGTATGTCCGCGGAGCAAGCCGGAAAGGCGCTGTTCTGCGCTTGCGATGTTTGAATTTCGCTTCAGCTTGAGATCCCCAGAGTGAGCTGCAAACAGGTCAAGACTTTTCTTCTATGTGCTCTCAGCTGCTTGACTTGGAAATGAGACCAGCATATGGTAAAAGAGCATTTCAACGGGTAACCAGATCCAAGTAGGATGTTGGCTTGGCTGGACCAAGGTACCTCAGATGCAAAAGGCAAATTAACATGTTTCTCCCGTCACACAGTTCTGCCAATCCACAACACAAAAGTTGCTTGGTGAGCTCATAAAAGAACTTGGGTTCTTGGGTTCAAACCGCCGCTGGCTTCGCCAACACACGTCGCCCTTCGACATCTGAGGTCGTCACGGTTCTTCCGGGCCTGGGGATTTGTGCGGCTGGTGGATATGTTGCGATCAACTGGGGAGAATTTGAGGACGATCCCGGGCAGGGCCTTTTTTGGGAAAGGGTTCTTTCCATCTCAGGGTTTTCGATCATGCATGTACTAGTAGCAGGGAAAGCAGAAGGCCGTAAATGAAGCACGAGAAAAGGTCACGCATAGGTTGCTTTGTCCTTGCGGAGCAGTACTGAGGATTTGTTAGAGACTTGCTTGGCTTCTTTAAACCGTGTTCATTGGCCATGCAGGCGTTCTTCACAGTGGAATTCATGGCCGGCGTGCTGGCTCTAGGATTTGCAGTGGTGTTCATAGCAGGCAGACGAATCGGGAGGAAACGCAGTCAAAGATTAACTTAGGTATGTACACATATTATATATAACTGTATATTATATGTAGTATATATCAACAGAAATTCCATGATTTGGTTCATTGTAGCTTGATGTGATATGTGCTTGAAGAGCTGGAAGACTTTCCAGATTCTTGCTACTGGTCTAGGTCGCGAAGCCCAAGGCCCTTCCTGCTGTCCCAATTCGGTATTTTGGCACTGGTTTGAAGGTGTGCATATTTGTATGATTAAGAAGAAACATGAGGTGAACAAAGGAAGGTAAGGCCCCCTTGAAACGTTTATTTATTTTTCTTTGAACATGTGGTGGTTTTGGTCTGACATCCCACAACATATTGTGACTCCCATACACCGGAAGACTTCACTGGTTATGCAAAGTGACTTGGAGATACTTGGTCCATTTGGCCAAAAACATTTCCTCGTGAACCGTGCCTTGTTATCCACGATTCGGGCATGGTCACAGGCTTGGGGATCTATGCGGTCTATACGGGAGATCGTGGCAAACAGATGTGCTTCTCTGTGCTTCACACCTTGGAAGTGCTCACCTTGTTGGGTACGGTGTTCATGTCCGTCTGCTCCTGAGACGGGTGATGTCATGTGGGAAATGATACTCGCAGGGCAGCGTCGAGCCCTTGATGACATGATTTGGTATGTGGTAAGGTTTCGACCTTAGATGTTCTGGATTCTTGGACTGTTGGACTGAGCCTCCTTAGCCAGTGTAGCCATGTCCGACTTGAGATGTTTAATGATTTTTAGATTCTAGATACTCTTGGTGAGTATATCAAATCAGAGGTGTCCCCGGTGCACTGTTGAGGCAAAGTTTGCCATGGATCTGGACAAGATGACCAGTGACACCTTATCGCAGGCAGATTGTGAGCATTGCATTGGAGCAGTATGGAGCCGTGCAAAACAAAACGCGGTGCCACAGCACGACTTGCTGCAAGGACATCTTTGGTTCGACTATACTACTGATATTAAGTTTGGTTCGATTCAAGAACTGAGAAGGGTATCCAAAATCCTTATGGATTACACTGTGATTGCACATAAGCTACGTCACATAAGCAGCTTCTTCCGCGCAGTGATTGCACGGCTTGATGGCAGGCTGGTGCTGCTCCGACTGGACTCACCTCAGCTGGAGTGGCCCAGCGGATGGCCGACCAAGTGATGAAACGACTCTTGTCGGGTCCTCAGCATGGGGAATCATGCAGAATCCATTAGTAGTAGGTAGGAGGGCAGCCGGATGACGATTTTTTGCAATCTGAATATGCTCGAATTCGACTCAATCTTCAGGATCCCTTTGGTGGTTTTGAGTGTATCTATCACCTGCCATATGTTTACAACGGATTCCGTCTGACGGCCAACAATGTTCAAGACTTGCTTATCAGAGGACGCACGATGCAGCTCTATAGTCGAGGACGCCAGGTTCAAAACGATGTCAAGGCGCTACTGTACGATACAGAAAGCTACTTCTCATGGGTAAGCTGTTGTCGACTGCAAAGCAAACACAAACATAGGTTTGCACTGGGTTCACCACCATCGCGCATGATTGGATTGCCCAGGTCCCTGTCTTGCAGAACTTATCAGGCAAGGACTGGGCAGAGACGCTACAGTAAATAATAAGACTGTCTTGGAAGTAGACATTCTATTTTCTGTCGATCGTTCCTGACTAGACGACCAACGCATAGCAAGCCAAGACTCAACAACCTATGGCATATATATAATCATATAATATGTCTATATAGTATGTATATGACTGTGGATATCCTGAATATTTGTGGATCAAAACCGAAGGACCCTGGTTGAGCACTGATCGATACTTGCGCCAAGGGCCTGGCGCCACCCAACAGCCCTTCCCTTTCAGCGGTACTTAGGTACTTGTAGTGGGGTGTTTGGTTGACCAAAAATGCACCCCATTCACTTGGATGCACGACACGCAGCAGCACCGTGGGGAACACACGAATAAGACCAGCAAAGGAGACTCCACACAAGAACCCTCAAACCAGAGACCACCGGGGACGACCTGATCAAGGCGATTCTGGAATCCAAGGATCGAATTAAGCACCTAATTCACCGTCACGAAACTATTTCATTTGGAACCTGAATATCAAGATTCTTGTCAGCATCTAAAGTGTCCCTAAGCCGGTGGCCAGGGAAGTTCATCTACCAGGGTTTGGGCCTCCAGGTTTGATTCTAAGCCACATATATATAATGTATGTAAGTCTGGGTCGAAACAGGACGGTTTGGAGTTGTGTTCGAGTCCATGGCGCAGGTCTGCTGTGAGGACACGGAGCTCTTGGACTTGCGCGTCGCCAACGGCGCTCCAAGACAATGCAAGGCCGAAGCGGAGGTTGGAATAGGGTGACGCCCAACCACCAACTCTTTGGGGTTTCAACCAATTGTAATGCGTTTTGCCATGACCATTGGGTCGCACTGGCAGTTTCCCTATTTCAGATTAAGTACACACCCATGTGGAAGGGCTGGTGATAGCGGCTGATGTGGCATCGGATGCCGAAACTCTTCGGAGTTGCAGTCGGAGTGATTGTTTGAAATGTTTGCAATTACATTTTTGCATAGGTTTACAAAGGTCATTGCCGGCCAGAATTATTCATGCCTGGTTTTCCCACAGCATCGGTCTGGAGTTGATAGCGAGCGCTGCGAGCTGATTGGCCAGGTTGCCCATGAGGGAATGGCAGATGATGCAGGATTCGTTTTGTGGCTTTGGCGATATGGTCGACGACCCCTCACGACCCCCGCTCCCGTGTCGGAGCGGACGTGGCCAAGAATAGAATCAATGGCTGCACCACTTCAAGCCTTCCGGTCTTTGGGAAGATTGATTCACCTCGACACGCAGAAGCAGAATCTAGAAGCATATAGAAGCATCATAGTCATACCAATCCTACTAGCAGTAGTTGAGGGTCAAAGATGCTGCGGTTCTTTGTCACATCATGCATCAACATGCATCAACATGCATCATGCATCGCTACGTTACATCGGTTCTTTGTCGGTCACTTTGCGCCCACCGAGGTCTGATCCATCCCATCCGAACTTCTGCCAGGCGGTCTCAGGCCGGCGACGCGGAGCCGAAGGGGGTGGGAGCACCGTGACTCAGTGAAAGCAGGGAGGCGAAGCGAACAGGACATATAAGGAACCATGAGTCAGTGAGTCAGGGAACATGTCACTGAACATGTCAAGATGTATGAAGTCCAATTTCTAAATTACGAAAGCCAGCCGATAGGCTAGGCAAGGGCTCCGGTGAGCACTTTTTCTTGCCTCGGACGGGCTGCTGGGAACGGTGAGGCAGGTCAGCGCGCACGCAAAGGTATGAGGCTAGTTGGGCACGAACCTAAAGCATGCACACCAAAGCCTTGGACATCCTGCACCCCATCGCTTGAGTCAAGCTCTCAAAAGCAAGGATATCGACATGTCCTGGCCAAGCATGCACGACCGGGCAGTTTACATTCGTTGTTGGACTTCAATCAAAGAAGCTATATAGATGGTATTGACTGGACCAGCAAAGCAGGTAAAGCATACCCTAGTCTATATAGTGGCTGGAGGCTTTGTGACGGAATTTGGTCGCAACAGTACTCTGTCGTAAATTTTATGACGGACTCTGGTTGCAAAAGTACTTGACGATTGCTTCCAAATGGAACTGGCTGGATGTATTGGGGCAAGTATGGTAGTTGGTTGGCAGCGACAAGTCACTATCAGAAAAGGGGGCCCGTGTAGATAGCAACTTGGTGGGGTGAAGAGCTTGCTGTTTAAGGAGTGGTTATAGTCACGGATCTATGCCATATTTTTGGATCACGGTTGGTGACACCAATGCTGAGACATATAGTTCCTGCCATCCTGAGTGTAGCTGCGACGTATTGTTATATTTTGGGCGGATCAGTGGCATAAGCCCAAGGAAAGTCCCCAACAGCACGAAGCGCCACTCGGAAAATCTCTTCGCTGTCCACACCCTCCTCTGGAGCCTTGTCTGCCTTGGAACCTGCTCCCGAACCTTCTCCAGAACCTCCTCATGGACTTGCCCCGGTACCTTCTCCCGAACCTTCTCTGGATGCAGCTGCCGCGACGATCCCCGACCTCCTCAGCCCTGCAGCCGCCGTCGGAAAAAGAGTTTTCGTCCTCCTCCCTTCTCAGGTCATGATTTTATAAGGACACTTCAGATGTCTCTCAAGTCTCTCGTTTTTCCCTCACGTTGACATGATCGCTTCCGGGCCCCGTCAACGCAGGTATAAACTCCAGGACGGCCTTCCCGAGACTCGGCAGATGTTGGAGATGGGTTGGTGTGTTATTCGATTGGGCTGGAAGTGCCGGTCACACTAGAGCGGAAACCAAGACGAATGAAGCGTTTGGAACGTTTTCTTTTCCAGGGGGGATAGGCGATAGGCTGCGAGTAGTAGCTAGGTAACTAGGAGCTACAAGACCGCTACTACTTCGGACTCAGGATAGCTCGCGCTTCTGCAAGGAAGCCCCCCCCGCCGCCCTAAATGCGGCGCTCGGACTAATGATTTGGTTCCTAGATATTTAGGGAAACTTAAATAGACTTAAGGCTCGGAGCCGACTAGGGGAAGCATCACGGGGTATCATGGATGATGATGGATGATGGTACATCTTGGTGCTTCCCATCCTTGAAATGATAACCTAGGCCAATGATCTGTGGCTGGGTGCAGTCTCCGGACTTTAGCATCGAAAGCTGCAAGCAGGAGTGGACGGGGCGTTCCTGACTTCCTGCAACAAAGAAGCTAGTCCACAGTACTAGACAAGGGTGATATTCAGGCAATTTCGGACAACTTAAGACTTGAATAGACGCACTCAAGTCACAATGATTGCTTTCGACAAGCTTCTCGTCTTGCAATCAGCTCTGTTTCCGCCAACCCACATGTGCGCGCGGGTTTCCCTCTTGAGCGCCGGCCTAAGCCGGCGGAAATGATCTTGATGATACAAGACATAGTTACTTGACTACCGCATCTAAATACATTTGCAATTCAACATTATTCAACATCCCGGAACGCCATCTATGGGTCTCCCAACTCAGAAGACGTGTCAGGAGTACTGTACGAGTGGCCTTGAAGGATTGGAAAGCTTCTTAACGGCCGGAGTGGCTTGGCCACAGCAGTTGTCCTGCCACACTACACAAATGATTGGGCGTTCAATGGTGTTCATTTGCTAACGGTCCTTCTTATAGGATTTCGTTGTGCACTCTGGAATCAGCAGCTTGATTAGTAGTGCCACCCAGCCTTCCATGCCAATATGAATACGTGCATATGAGCGTCGTTCAAAAACCCACCTCTTCCTTGTTAGTAATCGAATTTCAAAGGCTGATTTCGAGTGTGCTCTCACTGCAGTCGCGCAAGGTTCGCGAGCGAAAGGTCTGCGCAAGTCATGTTGGTGACCTGGCCACGCTGCAAGAACAATTGCTCTTCAGACTTCCGATTGCTTTTTCCTGGGTTGGGAAAAAGCAAATTGGAAGTCTGAACCATTTTGCTTTTTCCCGGCCCGGGAAAAAGCAAATTGGAAGTCTTGACCATTTTGCTTTTTCCCAGCCCGGGCAGAAGCAAATTGAAGTCTAGACCATTTTGATTTTTCCCAGCCCGGGAAAAAGCAAATTGAAGTCTAGACCATTTTGCTTTTTCCCGGGCCGGGAAAAAGCAAATTGGAAATCTGAGTTAAAATTGGAAAAAGCAATTTGTCTCAGACTTCAACTTTTTTCCTAAGGCCCAAAAAATAAGCAACAAGCAGTTTGTATCAGATTTACAAACTTAAATCAAGGAGTCCTGGCAGAAGGTTGTGGGCTCAAATCTTCCCTGTTGCGAATTTTTTCTCCCAGGCTGGAGAAAGCCAGTGGGAATCTGTGAGCCAAATTGCTTTTCCCCAGCTACCAGGCACGGGAAAAAGCAAATTGGAAGTCTGGACCGTTTTGCTTTTTGCTGGCCCGGGAAAAAGCAAATTGGAAGCCTGAACCATTTAGCTTTTTCCCGGGCAAATTGGAAGTCTTATACATTTCCAATTGCTTTTTCCCGACCCTTGGAAAATTCTTTGTCGTGGGAAACTGCGCAAGTATGGCGAAAGGTTCGCATTGCGGACGCGAAAGACGACAGGGCCAAACCCCTCTCTTCTTGCTGGAAGCACGCGCTGGACACTCCAGCTGCAGATGCACTCATAGTGTGCCCACAAGTGCAGGTATGTGAGGTGAGGTGGTGGGTTCTGCGGCTGTAATTGCGCAGACAACACGGTCGGTGACTCCAGCGCGCGGTTCTAAGGATGTAACATGAGCGTTGTGTTTTGGTTTTTCCAGGCCCGGGAAAAAGCAAATTGGAAGTCTGAACCATTTTGCTTTTTCCCGGCCCGGGAAAAAAAGCAAATTGGAAGTCTGAGCCTTTTGCTTTTTCCAGGCCCGGGAAAAAGCAAATTGGAAGTCTGAACCATTTCGCTTCTTCCCGGCCCGGGAAAGAGCAAATTGGATGTCTGAACCATTTTGCTTTTTCCCGGGCGGGAAAAAGCAAATTGGAAGTCTGAGCCTTTTGCTTTTTCCAGGCCCGGGAAAAAGCAAATTGGATGTGAGAACCATTTTGCTTTTTCCCGGCCGGGGAAAAAGCAAATTGGAAGTCTGAGCCTTTTGCTTTTTCCAGGCCCGGGAAATTGAGCCGGGAAAAGCAAATTGGATGAGCGCCCTGGACACCCAGTTTGCCTGTCGTGAGCCTGAAAATAGTTTTTCTTCAGCGAGCTGTGAGCCTGAAAATTGGATGAGGCGCCGGACTCATAAGCAGAAGGTTGTGGGTTCGAGCCTCCCCGGCGCTGATTGTTTCCAGGCTGGAGAAAGCAATTGGAAATCTGCGAGGCAAGTTGCTTTCCAAATTGGAAGTCTGATACATTTTGCTTTTTCCTGGCCCGGGAAAAAGCAAATTGGAAGTCTGA